CATTAACAACCTAATCGTAAGATGGAAAAGCCTCATCGATAAGAATATATTAATTTACTATTTATGAAAACATTTTAATTATAAAATACTAACTCGCAGCCCAGTGAAATAATACATGCGGTATATACTTGTTTTCAGGGCTGGATTAGCATGAATGGGGGCCCTAGGCACGGTATGGAAGTGAGGGCCCCTCCCCCTTCCAAACTTAATAGTGTGTGGATATATATACGTAGTTTTTCTTGTTGTCAAGGAGAGAGGTTGGTGGATCTAAATGTATGGAGAGAGGTTGGTGGATCTAAATGTATGGCTTATGAATAACTATACATATGTATGATGGTAATTTTAGGATAAATTTATCAATGGTCGGTCAAAATTTGTCTTATTGAAAATGTTTTAAATTTAGGCTTTATGAAAAAAATAAAATAACAATAAAAAAACTTCCCATCATTGGCAATTTCAGTATTCTCTATTGAATTCCCTGCTTTTCCATAATTTTGTAACTAATTTCAATAATTCTTGGGCTCTTTTTTGTTTGCAGCGTTTTTCAGCACCACTGAGATAAACTTTATGCTTCTGCTCTTTTGACATGGCATTGATAAGTTGTGATTCTAATCTCGGGTGTTCTGCGAGGTCTGTCTGTGTCTCTGCACATACTCCCCTCTTCTGCAATCTTTGCAAGGGTGAAGTTAGAGTCTTCCAGAACTCTGAGTTCTTGTGCAGAACAAACTCGCACCAAAATCAAAACCAACGACATATGCACTGTATATATTTACTAAATTACTTTTCAAAAATAACCTAAGCCTTGTGATAATTAAAATTAGGGATGTCATGTTAATCAAAGACTCTCTCCAATAAAGTCCTTAATTTTCATATAGGGTAATATACATGCTTGTATATTTGCTATACATGGGTTTGTTTATTGCATCTTTCTTTATCATTAGGGACCCCTTTTCCATGATTTGCACAGCATGTATCTGATCAATTCCTTCAGGTCCACAAATTTTTCATACTTCAATATATTTTTTCAACATGTTATCCTGTATAATCATGTATGTGATGGTGGGGCCCCCTATATATATAGTATTAAACATACCCTCAGTTCGTGAACTTTCAGTACAAATGTACGATTTTTTTATTTTTATCATTCTATATGTATTATTCACATTACTTAGCTATTTACTTTATTTATTATTTTTTATTATTTGTTTATTTAACTTTTTTTCTTGGCTGCTTGGAGGCCCTCTTTCAGGTGGGGGCCATAGGCACGTGCCTACCTTGCCTAATGGGTAATCTGGCCCTGCTTGTTTTAGCATGTTATTAGTCAAATATAATAAATCGCCATAAATGAAAAATGATTTTTAAGTATTTGTAAATACTTGTCAAGTATAAAATACTGAATTAGTTTTCATGAAACTTGTTATTTCAGTTAGGATTTTTCATTTGTGTGGAAACAAACGTTGAATTTATCATGAGACATTTGAAGATAGACTTTGAAACATGTGATCTACTATCTTTTACTATCTTATACAAAGAATATCACATTTTATTATTCGTTTTTCAGTTGTAATTAGTGTTCAATATTAAATGTAACAGATTTTGAACAAGTACACTCCAAGCCTGATTAGATCAAAGGTTAGTTAATTATGTGTCTAGCTTAGCCTTTTATGATAAACTTGAGAGAAAAAAAAAACAACTGAACATTTAAGAAATTACTGAAACATACGAGACACGGAAGGATGCGAAAAAATAGAAATAATGGAAGTTATTATGTACAAGTTTCATTATTGAAGGATTATCCAACTGTTTATCAAAATATTGCTTCAATATTGTTATAAGCTGTATTTTAAATGTTGCAATTTAGATGTTAGCTAGAGGGAGTATTACATTAAGATCACGATACTCCTAGAATATTCGAGAATATTAATGAAAGAGACGGTTTGCGAAATATCTTGAACAAAGATTAGATTATAAATGCGGATGAGTCTGTCAATTGGCTAAGTATGCTTGTAGTGAAACAGGGAAGCATCAAGAAGATGGTTATTTTCTAGTGAATCAGTCAATGTGTTTAGTTTTTTTTTATCTGTGTTAGCTATTGCGCATAATTACTTTGTACAATAAAATTATTTTTTACCTTAGTGCAATGTAAATAGCGTGACTGTAAACGTAGGCCTACAACAAGTTACAAAGTGTACGAACATGTAAAGAAACGTTAAGGCAGAAATAAGACTACTTTGTTACTGTTACGTGTACTGGACATTGAATTATTTTCACCAAATAATTTAACAAAATCCGCCAAAGAAATAATAACTTTATAACAATATACTAAAGACGGTGTTTTATTTTATTGTTCAAAGTTGTCTTGCCTCTTTGCGACGTTGACGCTAAATCACAGCACAACAAACACTGCTTATTATTGTTGTATCGTTGGAATGCCACAGACACTGGTTATTATTGTTGTATCGTTGGAATGCCACAGACACTGGTTATTATTGTTGTATCGTTGGAATGCCACAGACACTGGTTATTATTGTTGTATCGTTGGAAAGCCACAGACACTGGTTATTATTGTTGTATCGTTCTTCAAGTTCCGGTTCACTAAAACTATAAAAAATAAGTTTATAGATATATCTTCCATCGAATATTTTAGAAAACTTCCTGACTTTAGAACTTTTTAGTTGTTATAGGCCTATCTTATTATCATTAAGACATGCAGCTAATATTGTAATAACAATATTAAAAATATAGTATAAAATATGAACACATTTTTTTCGGTGATCTGCTTAATTAAAAACAAAAAAAAACCTCCTCGTTATATTCTATTGTAAACCTATTTTATATAAAATATATTTACAAAATATTTTTAATTACTTACAAACTTTATGTCAAGTTACCTTAATATCAATGCCTCTCGGTACCGAGTACATATTGTGACGTGACTGTGTTACAGTTCAGTTCTTAGTTTTCTAGTACTTCAAGATAGTGTTTCAACTAAAGCAGTTGACTTAATTATTATGTCACATTGATCATGGGGAAGATGTCTATGGCAGCAATAAATATTGCTCTGACCTCATTAGTTAAACTCGACCAGACCTACGCTTTTTTTTATGAGATTGATACAGTAACTTGTTAATTAGACAAGTCACGTGACTATATGATAGTCAGAAAAGTTATTTATGACATATTTACGAACTTCAATACAAATGACTAGCAATTTACACCATTAAACTTTATTAGTGTCTTTTTATGTTCTAATTCAGATGCTTTGGTAGAGGATGTATGACGGTAAGATCGAAAAGTTTAATAATGTAGGCTTAACGTTATAAAACAAAAGTTTAATAATGTAGGCTTAAAACGTTATAAAACAAAAGTTTAATAATGTAGGCTTAGAACGTTATAAAACAAAAGTTTAATAATGTAGGCTTAGAACGTTATAAAACAAAAGTTTAATAATGTAGGCTTAGAACGTTATAAAACAAAAGTTTAATAATGTAGGCTTAGAACGTTATAAAACAAAAGTTTAATAATGTAGGCTTAGAACGTTATAAAACAAAAGTTTAATAATGTAGGCTTAGAACGTTATAAAACAAAAGTTTAATAATGTAGGCTTAGAACGTTATAAAACGAGGGAATCCTCAATAGACGCGGCATTTTAAATACTTTTAGACAGGATAAATGTAAATTAATCTACGAGATCTTTTTATCCTTTTTATTAGCTATATTTTTGTGTGCCAGCAATACCAAGCGTGGGGTGCGTGTATACCGAATTCAATTTTATTACTCATCAAGATCTCTACCAGCCTCTCTCAAATTGAAATTCTTTTAGGCAGAATTAAAGTAAATTAATCTAAGTGATGATGGGCATGATCAAATACATCAAAAAGGTTTCGACCCCCCCCCCCCGAGTTCAAAACTATAATTATAACTCTAATCAGTCAAGAGATGACTGAGCTATGAGATAAAAGTTTGTACTTGAAAAAAAAACAAAACTCAGATCCTTTCTATAAGCTGCTACGCCGCGGCAAAAAAT